AAAAAAAAAAAAAAAGATTAGGCTTTGAAGGGACACAGTTAGCGTTAGGTGTCCCCCCTCCACGGTTGAATCTGCAACTGCTGTGGGCACTGACCTATCGGTACAGACATTTAGGACCCTCTGCTGCGCCCCAATCACCCCTTCAGTTTCTTGGTAGTAGGGACATTCTGGAAATTGCCAGGGAGGGGCTAGGTTGGCATAGAGTGTTTGGGGGGGACATGTGGAGGGCTCAGGGCCGTAGCAATTGCCCATCTGTCCCCAGACCCAGTAGTTCAGGATTTTAACAAATCATAGGGCTTACCAGTATTCTGGCTGAACACTGGGGTCCTTCCCTGTATCCTGACAAATTACAATGGGTCCGCTGCTGCAGGAACCCCCAAGGGCCCCAGGGCTGTCCTGGCTCAGACAGCCCCCGGCTTCATCGCCTGTTTTCCTCCCCGGCACGCCCCCGCCTACTTCCTCTGTCTAGGGCAGGCTGCTCCCTTTCTGCCCAGGGCCGCCCCTCTCCCCCCACCACCACCACCTCCAGGCCATTCCCCTGCCCACAAGGAAACTGGCCCAGCCCAAGGCGGAGCCAGGGCCCCAGGACATCCTGGCTCCAGATTTTTAAGAGAATAACAATAAAAACAGCCCAGAACAAAACAGTGTAGTCTTGGAGCTGGCCCAAGCCCAAAGGTTAAGGGAGATTCTAAGAAAAGGATTTCTTGGAAAGAGCCTCAGCTTTTGCCATAGCCTGGAATCTGCAGTATTGTTGGGAGAAATTTCTGAGGGGTTGGTGGTAAGGAGGGAGCCTCGGGGTGGGAGCCTGGCAGGCACAGGGACCTGGGGGCCTGAGGTTCTGTCTCCGGCAGCAGACGGGGCCACAGATGTGGGGAAGGGAGGGACACCAACATGGGTTGGGCTTATCCAAACCTTGGCTTCAGGGTAAGAGAAGGCCTCTGGGTGGAGCTCAGGCTTCCTTCCCGGCTCCTTGTCTCTTGTCTTATGGCTTCAGCAACATGGCCCCCACTGCTCCCAGGATAAAGCCCTAGCTCCTAGCTTGGCATGCAAAACCACAGTCACCTGTCCAGAGCCATCACCCACCCCCCAGAACATGTCACTGCTGCCCAAGTGCTGTCACACGTCCTTGCCTGTGAATGCACCGGGCATCACGGCCTTCCATGTCTCATTCTCTGCCTGGCAAATTCTTCCTCCTGCCCACAGCCCTGCTCCGAACCTCACCACAGAGCCTTTGTCCCCGTGAACTGTTCTTTTTTCCTGTTCCCCCATGTGCCTGCCCACAATCTCAACCCCTCCACAGGGCAGGCAAAGGGTGCAGGACCCAGAGAGGCCAGCGATGTGCCCAAGGTCACACAGCAAACCGAAAGCCAATAGCCGGTAGCTGACTTTCACCCTTCCCCCCTCTCACCCTCCCATATCCCCCACATCCAGCCTCGGCCCCATGTGCTCACCACGAGGAACGGCCCTTCTGTCTGGCAGAGGCGGATGACCATGACCAAGGGGACACACATCATGGAGGACAGGGCCAGACTCCAGCCCAGCCCGATGGCCCAGGTGGGGTACACATAGACTTTGTTGTAGGTCAGGGGGATGTACTTGACGAGAGAGAAGATAAAACATCCCTGTGGAGAGATGGCACAGTTAGGGGGGCCCTGGGCATCGGGGGCACAGAGCTTAGGGGACCAGGGCAGCCCCCACCCGAGGGGCCTCATACCCTTCTCCACTCTGCTGCCTGAGGACCTCCCTGGGGCAAATCTGATCAAGTGGCTTCCCTGCTCAGGACCGTTCTGGGGCTTCCCATCGCCTTCAGGACGCCATCTAAACTCCTCAGCCCGGCCAGCAATGTCAGCCAAGAGCTGTGCCCCTTCACCCCTTATCTACCCACTACGCCTTCTTCCATGTCCACACCCCAGCTGCCCTGAAATCCTCCCAGCTCCTCAGCCACTTGCCCCAGGGCCTTAGAACAGGCTGTTCTCTGACTAGAGCCCTTCACCCTTCATCTTCTCATCCTAATTTAGCTCTTATGGTCCTGCCTTACTTGTCCAGGCCCTGCCCAGACGCAGTCAGGTGCCCATCCTCTTCCTTCCCGGGAAGCATGTGGTTATAATTACTTCTTCAGCACACTCTCCCCCACCCAACTGAGTCAGTGAGGACAGGTGGGGAGTCAGTCTTGTTCTCCCCCGGTTCTCTAACACCTGGTGCAGGTCCCGGTGCACACAGTGGGTGCATAATAAACACTAACTGCATGGCTGAAAGTCTTTCCTCCCCTTCCCCAACTGCCACCCACACATCTCTATCCCTGAACCCCAGGCCTAGCTTCCCAGGACCTGGTGTGGACCTGGGCCTTGCCCAGTTGGGTGTCCAGCGCCAAGCCCATGCCAAAGGCCGGTGGCTATCAGCATCCATGAATGGTGGGGTGCGGTGAGCTCTGAGCCCAAAAGCCTATGCAAAGTCCGTATTTCCCTGAGAAGAGCACGTAAGGCTGGCTGGGAGGGCCCAGGACTTCTGCTTCTTGTCAGAATTCCAGCATCTCAGTGTATAACCCAGGGTTGTCGTAGATTCATCCACAGTGTAAACATGACTTAAATCTCCACTACCTAATATCTGGGGTTTGATGGGAAGACAAATCTACAGAAATCAGAATTAGTGATGGGGCAAGGGAGAGCATTAGGCTGCAGACGTCTCCCACTAGGCATCTACTGTATGCCTGGCCCTATTGTTGTTCCTGTCCCTAAAGGTGGGGTGTAGCTTAGACAGGGAGAGGCCCAGAAGAGGGCTGCTCTAGGCCCTCCCAGCACCAGGAAGCTTGGGACCTGCCCATTCATATTCCTCTTTCCACCAGGGTGACCTTATCCTACCACCTGGGGATGCAGGCTACCCCTGATCTATCCAACTCCTCAGGGAGGAAAGGAGGAAGAAACTGATGGTCGGAGTGGTGAGAGGAGTTTCTCACAAACCAACGTCAAGTGAGGACGAGAACAAGGGCTTTGAACCCAACTAAATTCATCTCCAACAATAACTCGCCAATTGTGGTTCCTGGCTGCTACAATTTACTGAATTTTGTGGGGAAAATACGCACGTCAGATGGGAAGACCACAGCCATATTCAAGGGCAGCAGTAACAACCTAAGGTTGTCAGCTGCCACTCACCTCCCACCTGCTTTATGATGGGGTAAACCGGGGCCCCGGCAGGTAAGGGACTTGCTTAAGGTCCCACACAGTGAGTTAAGGGCAGTATGGATTTATTCTGGCCTGGGAGCGGGGTCACTGAGGGGAGGATCCCATTCATCTCTCAGCACCTGGTTCCTAAATGTACAGAACATTTCTGCCATTTGCACTCCCCACGGTATGAGCTGAGAATGGCATAGCAGATGTCTTCCCCTGCAGCTAGCTCCAAAGCTCACGACTGGTTTCAAACAATGACAGGGAAGCAGAAGACTTCCCTTTTGCCAGAGCCTCTGAGTGGAAGTTTGAAGTGGGGTGCCTGGGCATGCTCTAAGCTACATTCCAAGATGGCGGGCAAGGGAACCCTGGTGGGAAGAGGAATGTGGCACATCACTGCCTTTGGGTCCTGGGTGGGGACGAAGCTTCCTTGTCCTTGGGAGAGTCCATAACATCTCTTTGCTGGGACTTCCCACAACCCCCACCCTGCCATGGAAACAGCACATTTCCAATGTCTATGACCTGTCTCCATTTGACATCCCAAAGGCCCCTCAACTTAATCAGTGACCCAAACTGAGCTCATTGAGTCCCAGAAGTGCTTGGGCAAAGGTTATGTGCTCTGTTGTGGACCCCCTGAATTTCTCAACATGCCCCGATACATCTTCCTCTTTCAGAATGCCTTGCTTTGCCCATGCTGGTTCTTCTGCCAGGAATGCCCTTCCCTTTTTCTCTTCCTGACCAGCTCTTATCCTGTATATCCTGGGCTTGTGTATCGGGGCATGTTGGGAAATTCAGGGGGTCCACAACAGAGCACACAACCTCCTGCCCAACCTGACTTATCCGTCAAAACTCATCTCAAGGTAACTTTTGGGAGCAGCCCGCGGCCCCACCTCTCCCAGGCAGAGGTGTCGCTGGGCTTGTCAGAGGCCAGCATTTGGCAGAAGCTGAGTGAAAGATGGTTTGGCAGGTAAGAACGTCAAGCCCCAAGGAGAAAAGGCTAGCACCCACAGAAAGGCAGGGCAGAACTCACAACACAGAGAACTGGAGTGACCACGGCCCAGCTGTACTTCATCCACGGCCCAGGCCGATAGCCAATCATGTCCTCAATACCGTCATAAAGGTTATCGCTGCCTAGGAGAGACAGAGGTAGACAGATGGTGACGCAGTGTCCAACACTACGCACAGAAGGGGCTCAAGGGCCATGAGGGGGTCCCTGGGGTCTGCTCCAGATCCCTGCTACTCGACACCACAAAGACCCAAGAGTGGCAGGCGTTTATCTGAAATTACTTGAAATTCAAATGTAACTGGGCATCCTATATTTTTCAGGCAAACTTAGACAAGCCCCAAAACCTGGTGTGGTCAATCCAAGGTCTCAAGAGGGTTGAAATGGACCATGCCTGGATCCCAGAGCAGTAAATCATAGGGAGACCCCTGCATAGCCAAATTCTGTGTTTGTCAAAACATACAGTCATACCCTGCATCTTCAGCAAGGGGAGAATACGCAGTGCGGCCACAATGGTATTATTTCTGTAGGGAAGGGGCAGTCCGGAGGGGAAAAGTCCAGATAGGGAAGGCCTTTGTGTTCAACTCAGAATGAATTCCCCTGAGAATTCTGTTTTGGAAGCTTCTAAATACAGAGACCCAAAGCAGAGACTTGAGGAAGGATATACAACAATCTGTACTCACCATATATCCAGGCAATAACAAAACATTCAAAGAATGCAACCCACAAAAGGCATACTCCGCTAGCTGCATAGTAGTCAAAGAGTTGAAACACATACATGCCACCCTGTGAAGAAAAAAACCAGAGAACGTTGGCTTGTTATTTGGTATCCAACTCCCTTAATATATAAAGAGCTTTGGCATATCATTAAGAAAGAAAAAACCCAAGAGAAAAATGATGACCAGATACATGTGTAAAAAGACGCTCAACTTCATGTTTGACAAATTTAATTAAAAACACACACTCAGAGGCGCCTGGCTGGCTCACTTGGAGGAACGTGTGACTTTTGATCTCAGGGTTGTAAGTTCGAGCCCCATGCTGGGCATAGAGATTCCTTAAGAAAAGAAAATCTTTAAAACACACACACAGAAAAATGAAAACAAAACATGTTTTCCTTAGCAAAAATGATGGGTTTCCTGAAGCCTTCTTCCAAAGGAGGTGCTGAAAACTAACTGGGGCCAGCAGAGAATACTTCAGTGATACTGAGCTGCTCGGTGTGGACCTATGATCTGCTTTTGGCATGTGTGTGTGTGTGTGTGTGTGTGTGTGTGTGTTCCTTAGAGGCACTCTCAGAGAAACATTTATTTGTATTTCCGGTAGGAAAAAGTGGGGATGGGAAACCCAAATTGAGTTTGGGGGCAAATGCAGCAATTTGCTGGAGAATGTGGGGAGGTGGGTGGGCAGGGGCGCATGAGACAGCAGGCTATACCAGGCTTCCATGCTTCTATTATTTAGCACAAGAATCTCTTTCTTTTCTCGCCTGCCTCTTCTTAGACAGCTGATCCACTGTTGCCTTAGACACTCCCGGCTTCCTTCCTCTCTGCTTCTTTCTTCCCATTTAGATGGATCCTCCTTGTGGCCCCTGCCCATCCTCTGAAGAGCGCACACTCCCGGTCAACCAGACAGGCCCGGGCACTGCCTGCAGTGTTTACCAGGGGTCTGCATTTACCCTCTCGAACGTCTCCACCTCCCCCCAGGCCTGAGAAGGGCCACTGCACAGTCACAGATGAAAAGAGCTGCTATTAAAATGGATTTCAGCTCAAGTACCTCTCCCCCAGGCCTCCTGGGAGGAAGGGGGGACAGAGGGCAGGGGGTGGCCATGGTGTTGCCATGCTAACAGGAGAAAGGGCCCGGGAGTTTGGGTCAACTGCTGGGTCCTGAGCTGCCTCCTGCTGCCCACAGTGTAGGCCAGGTCCCCTGGGCAGGGTGGGATCCCTGAACTGGGTGGGGCCAGGAGATCCCCTGTCCTGGTCCTCCCGCCTAGCCACTGCCTTCACTGGTGGGGGTCAGGCCAACCCTGACCCGATCTTTGCAGCGTATGGAGGTCACCAAGAACCCTACAGACAGGATGGTCCCTCGTGCCAGGTGAGAAAGCCACCTACCTCCGTCACCATCGCCAGCCCCAGCAAGTAGCTGATGCTGCACACGAAGGCGATGAAGATTTCCCGACGGAAACCCTTCCTTAGGAAGGATGGGTAAAGATCGACCAAGGACGTGACCTGTCCTTCGACTTCAACAAACTGTGGAGGAGAAGAGAGTGGTTGAGCCCCAGGTGCCCAGCACCTCCCCTCTGCTCAGAGAGTCCCCAGCATGCGCAGAGTAGCCTGGGGGGTCAAGTCCAAATGTATAAACCTGACCTGGTAGGCTCTGCCTGGGGAGTCCTGCCTGCTGGTCAAGCCACAGTGGGCCACACACAGTTCTCCAAATATCCCACACGTCCGTCTCTTTGCTTAAGCTCCTCAGAATGCCTTTCCTTCATCCTTCAAGACTCAGCTCAAGAATGACCTCTTCTCTGAAGCCAATGTTGACCTTCCGCCTTAGCCCGCTGGCTGGAAAATATGTGTTGGCACGAACACCTCCCCCCATTTCAGTCTTGGTCCTTTCTGATGCTGAGGGCAGTGTCCCCTCATTTCTGTGCCTTGAGTGCCCAGATGGGCCAGGCACGCGTGGCTGCCCAGCAGACACATGAAGAATGGGGAGGGGGCTAACTCAGGGCAAGTCTGGGCCCCACTTTCCCCAACAGATTCACACGGTGGGGTTTTAGCTCCGTGGGGATTGTGGATCCATGAAAGAATCCAAGTGCCCACATGTGTGAGCCAAGGGCTCACCGTGCCCCCAGGAACCCATTCCTGGGCTCCCAAAGGGAAAGAAGCCCATCTGAAGGGGCCCCTCCTTGGGTAATGTGCTAGGATCATTCTCAATCCCTCTAAATCTTTCCATCTTTGCAATTAACAATGTAACTTGGAGACTGATCCATATCATTACACGGAGAGCTGCCTCTGTTTTAAATGGCAACACGAAACTCTGTCCTGTGGACCCGTATCGTCATGGGTCTGACCGATGCCCAGTGGATGGGTTCCAGCCTTCTGCGGCTGCTGACCTGGGCAAGGACTCTTCCTCCCCCTCTAGCTGTGGTGCGTAGGTATCGCAGCTCAAGCCGCAAGCAAAGCTTCAGGGGTGAAGGGCACGTAGAAGCATTTTACATTTGGGTAGCCACAGCCAAACTGCTCTGCCAACCAACACACCCTCCAAGGCCTGTCCGTCAGATTCCTTTAAAAGTTGAAAAGCTAAAACCTTGACCTTTCTGTTCTTTCATCTGTGAGAGGCATTTGAGAAGGATGTTTCCCCAGCATTCCTACAAGAAAAATCCAACCACTTAACTCCTTTGGGATGCATCACAGGAGGATCAAGGAATACAAACAAGGACCAAATCCCTTTCATGGCCGAAAGGGGCTGGAAAAATGATTCTTCATTGCCAGGAATTCAGGGAAAAGATGAGCAAGAGGCTCTTGAAAGGGGCCCAAAGAAAAGGGGCTGATGGTTTGACCTCTGATTGGTGTGTCAGCCAACGGGGTTTTGACCCTAAATTGCCACGGAATTACAGAAAACCAGCTCAAACATCAATCTTCAAAAGGAGTTTAGAAACAAAGGTCCTTTCCTTTTTGAGATGGGGAAATTAAAGACAGGAAGGAGCAGTGTCACTGTGAGTCAGGGTCAAGACCAGCACAAGCCCCTCATTTCCAAGCTCCCTGCCTTTCTGGAGAACACCGTCCCCACCCCTCAGTCCTGCTCCACCGGCCTCTTCAGACCTCCCTCACTGAACAGCTATGGGATCTGATTTCTCCAAGCGTCAGTCTTCTCCCCTGTACCATCGGGGGATCTTGCCTACTCAGTAGCAGGGATGTTGAGAAAGATGTGAAATCATGAGAGAAAAACTGGCAATAGCGTGATTGCTGTGAACCCAAGTCAGGGGCTGAGTGAGGTGCGGGGAAATGGGGCCAGCTCTCTCCTCCTCCGGTGCTGTTGGCTCTCTCGCGCAAGCGTCTGCCTCCAGGCGCATGGCATCCCTCCTCCACCTCACCAAGAAATACACAACGGTATGACGGATCCTAAGCCAAAGAGTGCTCCCCACGGATGCTAGGCATTTGGAGGGCATTTCCTTTACGTGCAAGGGTCACACTCCATCAGCGAGAGGCCTCTGCCTGAGGTTGCCTGGGGATCTCCGCGCTTCCATGGGAGGAAGCTATTTTGGGGGAACTCCAAGGTAAGGCCAGGGGGTATGAATTAACAGGTCAGGGAACGGGTGGCCCCAGGGGCAAGCCCATTTCTTAAACCAGCTCTGCACGGCCTCGGCGGAGTCCTTGTCTCCCTCAGCCTCGGTTTTCTGGGCTCGACAGGGCAACAGCTGTGCCCAGCTATAGGAACTTGTGTTTAATGGGGACAGAGCTTAGTTTGGGAAGACGAATAGTTCCGGGGATGGAGGGTGGTGACGGTCACACAACAGCGTGAATGTACTTAACACCACTGCACTGCATGCTTAAAAATGGTTAAGATGGTCCATTTTATGTTATGTGCATTTTGCCACGTGCAGGTATATCAAAAGCCCGGCATGAAGCCTTGCCCACAGGAACGCCTCGCATGACAGAGCTCCGACTGTATTCACGGTGCATGAGGCGGTCACCGGCATCTGCAAAACCTTCCCCTGCAGCCCCGAGTTCACACAGCAAATAGATGCAAAGGAGGGATTCCAAAGGAGGCCATCAGACTCCTGAGACATCATGCCCTAGCTCCTGGGGTTCAAATCCCCATCATGCTCTTCTTGGTATATCAATCAGGCAGGTCATTTAAGGACTCTGAACCTTGAGTTTCATGTTCTGAGCGGAAAGGGTACCAGCTCCCCCTGAGGCTGGCTTTGAGAGCTGGCCACGATGCCCCGAGCCTGTTGGCCACCATGAGGCCTAGCTCAGAGGTGCAGATCCCCAGCCAGGCCCCCCCTACCTCCCAGGGTAAAAACCTAATGAATAAACCACCTCTGCTCACTCAGGAAGCAGCTTCCACAGCCCAAGAGGCCCATTTGGGGCCCATGGAGATGTCATGCTTTGTCATTTATTAACCTCTCTCTGTTTTTGTTTTTTGTTTTCACTTAGAGCTTTGGAAGAAGTTATAAAAGCCATTTGCTTGGGGCCTCCGAAGGCCAAACTCATTAACGAGGGATGATTAATGGAGTCCTCTTGCTGTTTATACAGCTCAAGCCCACCAACCACTGCACAAGTATTTTGTTTTCAGGCTCCCAAATGTTTCCACTCTGTCTTCTCTGCTAATCCTGATCCCCATCCTGCCAAATCCTTCGCTCTGTTCTTGACCTCGCTGGCAGACTGCCTCCTCTCCTCTGCTCGACCTTCTAAGATGCTCCTCCTACCTGCTTCTGAGTCCACAGGGACCAACCCTGGGCCCTGGTGCGGAGGCTGCTGCCCACAGGTAGGTGGTGAAGCCCTCTCCTGACCTGGCAGCAGGCCTCATCTCTCACAGGGTCCCAGCTAACCAAAGATTTCCCAGGAGGCGGCCAGAGACCCAGACAACACAGGAGATGGCAAAACGCCGCCCTTTCAGATGTTGGCCCCCGGGGTGGCACGGCTTGTAGGGTTCTGGTCTGGGCATACCACCAGCCCACCCTGCATACCCGAACTCCCCGGTCCTGGAGTTATGCCCGTGCTCTAAACTGTCCTCTTGAGACACCCCCAAGGTGAATACACATATCTCCAGGAGAACGTGTCCAGGAGTTCACTCTACTGTCCTCCAAGCACCACTAGCTGCTCTGTATCAGGCACTGTGCCTGGTACTTCATACAAGGCAGTGGAGGTATAATCATACCCATTTACCAGATGAGAAAACTGAGTCTCAGACAAGGGAGGAAAAGTGCCCAATGCCACACAGCAGCATGGGGGCTTGCAGCTGTGGCTCCAAAGCCAGACTCGGCCTCTGGTTGGCTCTCACTGACATACCCACTGGAGGCCTGAGCCCTGGAGGGATGGGATGTAGGGGTTAAGACGTGCAGGGAAACAGCCACACGCAGGTGGTGGGTATACGACGGAGTCCTGCCGTGGGAGGGCAGAAGCCAGGAGGGCCAGAGGACAGGGCGGGTCTGAGCGAGGCACCCCAGTGCTTAGTTGTTCACCGAGCACTGGAGGATCACAGTTTCACTGCATGGGGAACAACTCCCGGGCTCCAGGCCTCACTGAACACCAGGTGGGGTTCAGGCCTCTCTGGCTGCACTAGGACAACCAGGGACGGCCTGGGCCGTGACTGTTGTCCCCGCCCCGAACTGCCTATCTGCCGCGTCACTCATGGGCCCCCGCGGGACCCTCCGTGGGAACACATCATCACCACCTGGTCTTGTCCTTCTACTTCCCGTCTATGGCTTCGTTTTGACCACACCCTTCAAGTGTCCGTTTCCCCCTGGCTGGGGTCTAAGACTCGAACTCTGGGCCAGAGGTCCTCTTCCTGCTGCCCTGAGGCCTCTTCACCCCCACCTCCCGGGGTCCTAGAGGAAGCCTCGCTGGCTGCAGCTGGTGCAAGTCTGATGTGAGGGTGGGAAGGGGGTGACCATCTCACACACGGCACGCTGAAGGGGGCTTTCCCAGAACCCTGTTCCCCATGGGTGAGCCCTCCCCACAGCATCCCCTCGACCCGTACCTACCTGGCTATCCAGTCCAAGCAAGAGAAGCATAATAAAAAAGAGAATGGACCAAAACGTGGGCAGCGGCATCATGGTCACGGCTTTTGGGTAGGCAATGAAGGCCAGGCCAGGCCCTAGAGGGAAGAGAGAATGGGGAGGGGCAGAGGGGGGGCACATTAGTGACTGAGCCCCCGGAGCACTGGAGCTTACACAAAGACACTCGGGACTGAGGCGGTGTACCAAACCCCAAATGCAGGGAGGAGCCGGGTCTGAATTCCTGCCTGGGGTAAGCGCCCAGGCCTGCCTCCCTTTCGGACGGGGCGCGCTGGGGCTCGGGCGGGGCCCCGTTTTAGCATCTGTCTCCTAGGCAGCAGCACCCGTGGCCTCACAGAATCCAGCAGGCACCGGGCATTTAGGAGAGGGAAATGGGACTGAGCCTGGGACTGGGAGTCCCAGGGAGCCTGGGTTTCGGGACTGGGACTGAAGTCTACCGGCTTGAAAAAGGAGCCCCCCTCCCCCAAACCAGAGCAACCACGCCAACGTTTGCTGGAAGGAAGCAAAGGGGGAAAGATCTGGTTATCTGAACTACTGAAGCCCCCGTTTGCAAAGAAAAGTTTTCGACTTCTGAGTTAATGACTGAAACACTGTGAAAGAGTACAGATCTCTTCAGGGGTGCATCTGCGCACCCCACCTGAGCAACGCCACAGCCAAGGCCCAAAGCTGAAGGGAGGTGTGCGCAGGGCAAGACCCCAGGCTCAGGAGACCATCCGTCATCTCCTCTTTACATCACCAAGTGCCCCTGCAGGGCCTCAGTTTCCCCACCTGGGAAGTGAGGGGCAGGATCCCAGAAATGCCTCCCAAGGAGCCTTCTTGTGCTCAGATTCTCAGATGCTGAAACCACTATCCTAGAAAAGGGCTTCTGGTTTCTAAAGAGGGGACCCTGGCAGAGGCAGGGTGTGGGAGATGGGAGCCCCGCCAGCTTACGGGGCACCTTTCTGACTGGAAACATTCCAGAGACAGAGGGAAAAGTCTCCTCCCGTCTCCAGGGGGCCTGAGGGGAGAAGCCAGGGGGAGGAACCGTAACTGAGGCCCGCAGGTGCAAGAGGCGGTAGGAAGCAGCAAAAGAAAGGAGGCCTGAAAGGGGCTGAAAAAATAAAATCCATAACTTAAAATAAATAAATAAATAAATAAATTTTAAAAAGGTCAAGAAATGTGAAGACAAAAAAGGGCTGGAGGGCAGGATATTTAGAGCAGATATCAGAAACCCAAGGACTGGCTTAAGTATGAAAAACAAAAACAAAAACAAAAACAAAAAAACTGTAAAATAAATTGGAGCCAGAAACCACACCGTAGGGCGTGAACCACAACCGTGGCAGGCAGGGGCGAGCCCTACTGGCCCGAGTCTACCCGACTGAGGAAAACCCGACTGTGACCTGGCGTCCCCAGGCTGTGACGGTAGAAAATCCCACGAGAAGTGGGGGAAGGGGCGCTTGTACCCACCCCAAAGCCCAAGTTGGAACAGAAGCCGCGTGGGCACCTCGGCTGGGGCCCACGGGGCCCCCTCCACGCCAGCTCTGGCCCGACTGGTAGGCATCAGTGCGTGGGGATTCGAGTCCAGCCAACTGCGAGACAGATGTAAAATGGGGCCCCCCACCCCCCACCTGCCGCCCGCCGCCCGCCACCCGCCGCCCACCGGGGCCTGGTGGAGATTTTCTCAACGCGCTCGTTTCTGTATTTCAGTTTTGCCTTTGTCAAGCCAGCCTCTGGGAGAGGGTCTGAGCATCTTTCTCTAAAAGCGCACGGTGAACTATAGAGAGAGAAGTCCATGTGAAGGAACGCAGCCGCTCCGAGCACCAACGCAGGCCTCTCGGCGAGCAGAGAACGCGCCCCTGCCCGCGCCGTGTGCACTCCGTTCGGCTAAATAATGATCTGGTTCAAATGCACTTCGCTCAATATGGTGCTTGTTAAAAGCTTATTAGAGAAATAATCATCCTTGATGTGTCAGCTGTTCAGACATCACCGTGGGGAATAAACGACAAGGTGTTTGAAGTGGACAGGAGGAAGAAAACAACTTAGGGTGATGATATAGACAGATATAAAAATACCTAGTTGTCCACGGAGAAAGATCTATTTTTTTATCCCACCACCAAATTCACTCCACACTCCTGGCAATCACAACTGGTTTGTAAGCCCTCGACTGAAAAAAAGGCACTGCAAAGGAGCTGCAAATCGTCTCCCCCCTCGTCCCTGGAACTGTCACACTCCCAAGTGGGTGTGGATCTTTCTGGAATTACTTTGTGTCCTCAGTCTCTGGCCAGCCTCTTGGGGTAGGAAAGCTACGTTTGACGGTCGGGTCTGGGACTGGGGGCAGTGGAGAGATGCGTGGGGCTGAGCTGTGGACTTGCCACCCTTGTCCTGCAACACTGGGGGGGTGGTGGAGGGTGGCAGAGAACATCTTCGCTAAGTGAGGATGAAAGCAGGGCCCCGGGCTCGGAGGTCAGAGAAGGTCAGAGGAGCTTAGGTGCATTCTCACACAGGGAAGTCCAGAGCTGTTATGTGCGTCCAGGGTGGGTGGGGAGGCAGGAGGTGGGGGGAGGTCCTCATGTCAGAGGGGCCTGTCCAGGAGACCCCAGCTCAGACCCTTACCAGCCCGAGCAAGGCCCTTGCTCTCAAGCCACTGGTCTCCTCATCTGCAGAACAGACGTCTACATGCACAAGGCTGAGGTATCCCTGACCCCCAACGCTAGGGTGCTGTGGCTGAGGAACCAGGACACCGCCCAGTTTCCCACGAGGGCAAGGGCTCCAGCTGCGTCTGACTCTGGTCCATGGTGGTCCCTGGAGTTAGGACATCAGGCTCTCCTCTGGACCTGAGAGAAGCCTCTGCCCAGGACCCTCGCCTGCCTCCATGTGGTCCCAGAGAGGTGGTGAGAAATCAGGAGGTCGGGTGCAGCAGAGGACGTGTACAAAATAACCAAACCTTGCACGCAGCTGACGACCACCCGCCAAGCGAATGGGCAGGATAGGAGTGAGGCAGAGAAGGGGCAAAGGTGGAATTTGGGGATCCTGGGAGCCTACGGTTCTTGTTCCCATATCCAAACCACTGCAGTTATATAGCTGCGGTTCTAGGACTTAGAACATCCAGGGGCAAGTCCTAGAATACTGCGGTGCTGAGGCTCTAGGATTCTAGCAACTGAAGACCTCATCATATTCAGGTTCCAGAGCCACCTTGCTGGAGCTCCAGGATCCCAGCCTGGGATCCCAGGCTTTACAGAGTCCACCATTCTAAGACTCTTTCCTCTACTTCCAGAAGGAGCACCCCACCAACAGGGCCCACACCCTGAGGGAGTGACACTGTCCCCCCCCAACCTACCCCCAAATTGGATCTGTCACCGTCCCAGAGGGCGGCCGGCATGCCCACTGTCTCTCCCCCACCCGCCGCCTACGGTGGTGACTGACACAGGGCAGACTCCGTTAATCAAGAACATCGCTGGAGTGAATGAATGGGTTTGCTAGAGGGAGCGCGCTGGGAGCAAAGTGCAAAATACAGAAACCAAAGCTGAGAAGGTGGTGATGGAATGCCGACTGGTGGCTGGCTTGGGCCTGAGTTAGGAAAGTGGTTTCTGTTGCTGAAACCAGGAGTTTGCAGGGGGAAGGAGAGGGAGGGAAGACCACACAAAAGTAGCTAAAGAGTCCCCAACTTAACCAACCCCCACGTTTCTGCAGCCCCTTGGGCCAAAATGCAACGAAAGTGCTTAAAATTTAGCTCTTGTGCTCTTTGATACTTTGGGGACATCTTGGTGGGGGGGGGGTCCGTTTCGGAAACCAGGCTCGTCCCCCCCCAAAGCCCCCTGGGGTCTGGCTTCATGCCTGCAGTACTCGGCTTACACACTAGGTGGCAGTGCCCACCACCACTGCCACCAATAACACCATACCTGACTCAGCCACATCAGCAATGTCCACCCCTTGCTCTTGTGCCATGAAGCCCAGGATGGAAAAAATTGCGAAGCCAGACACAAAACTGGTACCACTGTTCAGGCATCCCAGCAGCATACAGTCCCTAAGTTACACATATGTCAGGGAGCAAGTTAATTCACAACACAAGGAAGCCACGCTCCCTACTTCTTCTCTTTTTTCTTTAAACATCATCATTTCTAAGGTCCACTGGGCCCGCTGGCGTGACACTTGCCTGTACGAGTTGTACTTGTACTTGTTGTAGCTCCCCAGAGAGGTCATGGCCCCCAGGCAGATGGCATAGGAGAAGAATATTTGGGTCCCAGCATCAATCCACACCTATGGGGGTTGGGGTGGGGGTGGCAAGGAGAGAGAGAAGGGGCCAGTTAGAGCCAGCTTCCTGGAAGAGACGGTGCGGGTTCCCGGCCACCTGAAGGACTGCACCTCAAAACGTGCAGAGTCTCGACTGCAATCAGAGCATTCGTGCTGGAATCCAAGGTGTCTTTCAAGGCAATACTGAGTTGCAAGGAAGCCCAGAAGTCGAAGAAACCCCCAGTCACTCAGTATCAGGATTATGAGGAAAGGCTTTTGGAGCAGATGGATCTGAATTCCAACCATGAAATGATTGTGAGCAAGAGGACTCCCGCCCAGAGCCCCGGTTTTCACGTCTGTAAAATGGGCTCTGCTGCACTATTACGCAGGTTCTAAGAGTAAAGATTTAGCCCAGTGCAGACAGGTGGTAAGACCGTTAAGTCAAGGCTGCAATCAGGACTGTAATTGCTATTGTCTGGAGCGGGGAGGAATTCCCTAACGGATTATGCAGGCAAAGCTGCTCTCCAGAACCTTCATCCAGCAGCTCCGGAGGGCCACAAAGCTGCCTTCCCAGTTGTCCTCTGATGTTGGCCAAGCCCCCGCCCCGGCCCCCCCATCCTGCCCAGGGCAAGAGGGCAGTGAGGAAGAGAACCAAAGCAGCACAGGACCTTGAAGGCCACCTGAAGGCTGAGGATCCTGGAGACAAAAGGTCCTCAAATGGGCCAATAAAACATCCCAGGGCTTTCTCCAACCCCTTGCGGTCATGTGGCCGAGTGCCCGGAGCTGGGCGTTCAGTATCTGCCCCTCGACCTTCCAAGAGCTCAGTACCCACTCTGAATTCCAACGTCAGCCAAGGAAGCCAGCAGCGCTCCTGGGCCAGCTCCCCCACCCCCATGATGCCGCCCTCCTGGCCGCTGCGGGCAGAGACCAGGGCCAAGGAGGAGACTAGCTCCTAAAAAGACTTCTCCCCCCTTCCCTGGCACAGCGCCTGAAGGAGACTGTGGCTGGCCTCAGCAGTCCCCCACATGGAAAGATACACACACAGCTGGAAAGGCCCACGAGCATGCTAGACAACCTGCCACAGCCCAGCGGAAAAGTACTGGGCACTGATGGCCCGACTCGATTTGTGCCCCCAAGACTGTCGGCCTAGCTTTCCCCGCACCCTGCCCTGCCTGGCCCTGGGTGGGAGGGAGGACGGGCTGCCCTGCGGTACCTGCGGGTCCTCGAGGCGGCTGATGTCGGGGTACAGATAGAACTTGATGCCTGCACCTGCCCCGGGTAGCGTCAGTCCACGGACCAGCAGCACCAGGAGCATAGCGAACGGGAAAGTGGCCGTGAAGTAGACGACCTGTGAGGGCAGAGAGTGATTCAGGGGAACCCCGGCATCAACCGCTGCTGTCAAATTCAAGCATTCTCCCCGAGGCCAGGGGTCTGGAGCCGAGCGTGCTGTTTCCCTTGCTGTGTGACCTTGCGCATGTTGCTTAACCTCTCTGGGCCTCAGTTGCCTCCCCTGTAACCTGGGTATAATACCAGTACCTACCTCACAGATTTACTGAGATTCAATGAAAACAATCCTGTAGATATTTACTGAATATCTAGGCCCTGGAAATAGAGTGGTGGACAAGACAGAAATCCCTGCCCTCACGGAACAGACATTTCTTTTTCTTTTTCTTTCTTTCTTTTTCTTTTTTTAAGATTTGACCCATTTATTTGACAGAGAGAGACACGGCGAGAGAGGGAACACAAGCAGGGGGAGTGGGAGAGGGAGAAGCAGGCTTCCCGCTGAGCAGGGAGCCCTACATGGGGCTCAATCCCAGGACCCTGGGATCATGACCTGAGCCGAAGGCAGATGCTCAATGACTGAGCCACCCAGGTCCCCGGAACAGACATTTCTAATGAGTGAAGAAGGAAAATGCAAAATAAGAGTGTCAAATATCAAGTGTATATGAAAAAGGCTTAGCCCCATGGTCGGCACGTGACACTACGTATTAGCTAACATTACAACTGTTAGTATGACTCTTAGGGTTACGAATCAGTCAGGTGAGGGTTCAAACCCCAGCTCTGTCCCCTCGCTTGCTGTGTGACCTTGGACGTGATGCTTCACCTCTCTGGGCCTATATTCCCTTATGTATAAATGGAGACAACAGTAATAGAAGATCTCCATCAAGAGGGGAAGTGAGGATTCGATGAGATGGTATTTGGAACACCATCAAAACAGTGCCTGGCACGTAGGTGCTCAAGAAATGGGGCCTGTTGTCGACACTGATTTTGTAGGAAGTGCACACGGAACTCCTGGGAGGAAATGAACCTTCTAAAGCCCCTTGGCCAGGAGACTGGGAAGGGCCCCCCCCCAACTTACTTGGGGCCTTGGGAGGCCCCACAGCCCTCCCTGGATCACACAGCACATCCCGGGCAGCCCAAGGTCAATTGGAGGTGGGGACCCAGAGATGGCCCAGGCTGGGCTGTTCCATCGCCAAGGGCCTGCCCTACTTCCTCTCCTTCTCCTCTCCCGAAAGCGCTGGTCTCCAAATATCCTGTACCCTCAGTTCTCTCGGATGGATTTTTCCCTATCTTTTCATTGACTGTGAGGCATTTCCAGGCAGGGTTCATGCCTGGGAGGAGCTCAGAGGTGCGTGGCTCTGAACGGACGGCGAGATGCTGGTGTTTCCAGCAGGGCGCTGGCCGAGCAAGGATGCCCCAGGCACAAGGCCACTTGGTGCTCACCGCAGCCCGCAAACTGGCGTGCTGGCCACCGTGCTGACAGAGGAGGAACGGGAGCTCAGCAGGGCTCGGAGACTTGCCTGCGTCATTCCCAGGGCGCGGGAGCTATAGTCAGGGCCCGTGGAGGGTAACCACCTTGTTCTGAGCAAAGGCACCAGGCATTTTCACTTCCCCAACGCAGCACATACAGAAATTGCCTGTTGACCACCTGAAACGCTAAGACTGGGTCGCAGAGCCCCTGACTCCCTCAGGGCCTTGGGGGCCAGGGGACCAGAAAGGAATGGCTACACAGCCAGTGTATCCATTTTACAGGTGAGGAAACCCACACCCAGAGAGCAGGATTAACGTGTCCGTGGTGCTGGGGGCTGGGGGCAGGGCAGGTTACTGCAGGGCACTTCTGGGGCCCACGTAGGTACCAGACACCGATGGAGGGTGACGGAGCCCTGAACCCCAACTATCTAGCACAGAAACCCTTGCTGGAGCACAATTCTTGGACAGCCAACATCCCTGTGGGTAGAAACAACTAGAAAGGGGCTTTGGAAAAGGGCAAGGAGAAAGCTCTCAGGGCCTGCCTGGCTCAGCTGCCCTTGGCCTGTACCACTAACCAGCATTTATTGAGTGCTTACTGTATGCCTGGCACTATTCCAAGTGCAGTACTTCTGTACTTAGTTGGTCCCGCCCTAACCCTTTGAGGCAGGTTTCATTACTAGCCTCATCTTGAAGGTGAGGACGCCGAAGCCCAGGGAGTCGCCAGCTTGTCCACAGGTCACACAGCACTTAAGTGCCCCAGAGCGTGCCTCCAGACAGGGGCAGAGCAGTCAAAAGCCCTTCCCCGTCTGGTACTTTATTCGACCCTTCCAACAACCAGAGGAAGGCTGGACTCCCCAAGGGTGCAGGTCGGAATTCAAGCTCGCTGTCTGGCTTGCTGTGAGACCTTGAGCAAGCTACTGTCCCTCTCTGGGCTTCATTTTCGCACCCGCGAAGTGAGAAGCTCAGACCAGATGAGCTCTGGGGTTCCGTCCAGCTCTGCCGCTCTGGGCAGAGGGAGAGAGTGGCAGGGAGAGCCCACTCGGGGTCACCCGGGCTGGGGTTTGGATCCCACCTCTGCCACCTCCCAGCTGGGTGGCTTGGCCTCAACTCCCATCTGTATGAGGAGGAAAATAAGGGTGCTTACTTCACTCGCCATCCTCAAGAAACCTGAGCAGTGAAGACTCTCCTGCTGATCCCATTAGGCTACAGGGCGGGCCCTACGCCTGACTCTGTGGTTCCCCTCCAGCCCCCGATGCCTTTTCTCCATCTGGGCCTCAGTTTCCCCAGCCACCCCCTCTTCTTCTCCTGAGGCAGAGAACCCTCCCAATTTCCCAAGGACAAGAAGGCAGGCTTGGAGGAAGGGGGCAGGTCAGGAAGCCACAGAAGGGGTGAAAGAAAGAAAACCAGCATGCCCCCACCCCTGCCCCCCAGGCTGCTCCTCCCTTCCTGCAGACAGGCCCTCCACTGGTTCCCACCTCTGGGCCCTGCTGTGGACCACACCCAGGGGCTGGTGGCTGTCCCCAAAGCCAGCCGGGCCCCACTGGGCTGGGCAACCAGGCTCTGGCCAGAGGGCTTTGTGTCAGGGACACAGGAAACCACCCCGGGATGGGGGTGGCTTCCCTTTTTTTCATGTATTAAATCTGTTTAACAAGCACTTAAGGAGCCCTTACTGTGTGCCAGGCACTATGCTAAGAGCTTTATGTGCGTTAACTCATTTCATCCTCACGACAACCTGAAGAGGTAGGGAAGTGAACTACCTGCATATTCTAGAGGAGAAAACAGGCCCCAAGAGGTGACGTCAGGTGCCTGGGGTCACGGCGCTAGTAGGTGGAAGAGGTGGGATGGGACCCCTGCCAGCTGGCTTCAGAGTCCCGGGTCTTGTGTGTGTGTATGTGTGTGTGTGTGTGTGTGCGCGCACTTTACTGCGGTTCGTCCCCCGATCCAAAAGAGGACAGCCCCACCTGCTCACACAACCCTACCTAGTCACGCCACCTCATCTGCCTCTTTGGAAGCCACCCTTGTTTTGCAGAAGTTGCTGCTCTGAGGACAAGCCCCTGAGAGCCATTCTCTCAACTTTTCCGTGACTCCCCCGGGATCCTCACAGGAGAAGTTGGTGCCAGCCGCCGCCAGTGGGCCTCTAGTGGTGGCCCAGCAGGCCTTGCCACGGGACATGGTATTTTTCCACTCTTGCTGGCAAGCCTCTGTGGTTCCTCTGAGCCCTTGACCCAAAAGCCCTGTGGCCCAACTGCCCTGGAAACTTGCAAGGACAACTATTCCTCATTCCCCTAGGGACGGTGGGGAGAGAGTGGCCCACAAGGCAGGAGGGAGATGGGCTAGTCTCCCACTGCCGCCCTGAACCTCCTTTGGGGGTAAAGGCCTGGGCAGCAGGGGTCACTCATCCCAAAGATGGAGGCTCCTAGAGGTGGGGCCACGGGTCTGTGCCTAGCACCTAGGCAGGCCCCGAGGGTCTTCATGGCACCCCTGTGTGTGCGAGGGGGCATCACTAACTCCTTTCACATAAGGGGAAACCAAGGCTCAGAGAGGGAAGGGGATGTCCCCAAAGTCGTGCAGCTTGTGGGAGCAAAACTGAGATCCTAAACCAGGTCCGACTCTGACTGCCCCCGCCCCTGCTTTGTTTTCAAGTGTGAGACGGAAGAGCTGGGGCTGCAGCCTCAGGACATGTCTGTGCTCATGTCCGTGATGACCGTACTCCCCTTTGGGTCCCCAGCACCGTACTTCCTGCGCAACGGTCTGGACTTGGCACCTCCCTGGCCTCATGCGCTGGAGCAAGGACACGCCTGCCTCCCGTCCCCACGGTCAGGCTAGCCGAGGGGGAGGGCAGGCAGCAGGTGATGCTTAGGAGGTGGAAGAATGCAGGGCACCAAGGTGGGGAGCTGGGTTGCCTGGGTTCAAATCCCACTTGGCCACCGACACCTCAGAACATGAGGATGATGGAATGAGCTGTAATGGACAGCCCTGAGACTGGGGCCTGGCGCGCGCGCATGACGCTGCCTTCGCTGCCGTTATCACTGTCTGGTGTATGAATGAAGCCCCTGCAGATGCTGGGTCAAGGTTCAGACCCTTGGAATGACGACAATTACAAAAAGGGGAACTGAGGCTCAGAGAGGCAAAGTGACTTGAACTTGGGTCCTGAGCCGCCCAGGCCCTCCCTCTATCCACCCCCTGCTGGACCAGGGTCAGCCACTGAAGCACGGCCAGGGCCAGGATGAGGCCCGTCCTGCTGCCCATGGGCCCAGCCCCCACGGTGGCCGTGAACCTGGTCTGTGGCCAGGGCTGGAAGCCATGGTTGGCGGCGGGCGGCGGGCGGGCAGGCAGGCCATGGAGCTCAAGGAAGTCCACAGAGCCTTACTGTGTTTGTCTTGGCTTCTTGGGGCTGGCCCAGGCTCTGCTATTGTTCTGGGAGCCATGCCCGCCCCTCAGGGGCCTGGAGCGTGAGGAGGAGATTGTCTCCAGGGGCGGGGTAGGGTAGGGGGACCTCTGTCAAGTCACGTCTTCAACTGGCCACAGTTGCAGCCCGGTACCCTCTACTTTTCGATTTGGTTCTATCCTCCTGCCCCCTCTATTGTATCTTAAAGGTTGCCTGCTGCTTCTGGGAAACATCAGCCTCCTCCATCAGACTGGGGGCTCCCCCATAGGTTTGGGTCAGATATACCTCAGGGCCTTTGCATTGGCTGTTCGCCCTGGAATATTTTCTCCTCCAGATACCCACGTGGCTTACCCTTCACTTCCTTCGGATCTGTGTCCCAAAGTCCCCCTTCTTGGTGAGCCTGCCTGGCCACCTCATTTAAAAGTGTACCCCAACACTTCCCGTCCTCCTTCACCATGTTATTCTTCAGTCCACACCTGACTCCTAGATATTTTACGCGCTCACCTTGTCACAACCAACAAATCTGTCAGCTCCCGCACCACAGAGATTTCTGTCTGTTCTGTGGACTCCCGAGTGTCCCCTGGCCCTAGTCCTACAACAGTGCCTGACGGACAGTAGACGTTCAAAATGTATGAGTGCATCAGGAAATGATCATGTCTCCAGCATTGTTCGGGACGAGTGCTCCACAGAAACTTCCAGATAAACTCACCTCCACGTGGGGAAACGGGAGGCACAGTGAAGAGAGCACTGGTGTTTAGGGCCCTGTCTGCGCCAAGCACTGGTGCTGGGTGCAGAGCACACCTTGTTGGAGCCTTCACCTTCACCCTTCTGTAAAAGAGGAAACCAGGACTTCGAGGGGAGGGCGTGCCCCCGGACGAATCACTTCACCTCTCCCAGCTCAGCTCCCTCCTCATTTGAAGAAAGGCAGTAAGGAAACGGTTTGCACACAAGACAGAGGAGGAGGTGGGCCAACACTGGTGGACGAGCACCCCAAGGCTCTGTGGGGACTGCTCGAGGGGCCCCCTTCCTGCCTGTCCCGGTGGGACAATGTCAGCCTCGCCTGCTTCCTTTCCAGGCTGGGTTTTAGGAAGAGGCAGAGGGCCCTGCTTCAGACTCAGCCCCATTCTGCCTCTGCAATCCTAGAGACCCAGATCTTGCCCTGAAGTAAATGCTGGGATCTGTTCAGATCCACGATTTCACTTAAGGGGCTCTTCATCCAGGAGAGCATGGTCCTTAATGTAAATTCCAGGGCAGCAAAGGCCCCTTCTCCGAGTGATGTCACCCCTGCCCGTCACCATACCTCAAATGCCACCTTAACTTACTCTTTGGACCTTCGGGGGCTTTTAGACCTCAAAGAGATGTTCCCCCTGCCAAGATGCAAGTGATAGGAGGGAAATGCTAGGTGGGGGCCATATAAAGGCAGATCAGCCAACTCCTTCTCTCTGGCCTAGAGCCTTGGGTGCAGGCTCACACCTCTGATCACCACAGACCCTTCCGCACTGACCACATCACAGTGACCACGATACCGGCCAGGGTCTTGGTTCTTGGGTAATTGTTCAAGTCTAAGTTAACAGGAAGTGTTTTAGTTATAGGCTGTCGTTTTCATTATGGGAAATATACCAGTTATACCTAAAACCTCAATGATAAGCTAACATTTTAATGATCAGCTACCACCTTGGTTAATAGCTAACGTTCTAGGGCGCCTGGGTGGCTCAGTCATTAAACGTCTGCCTTTGGCTCAGGTCATGATCCCAGGGTCCTGGGATCGAGCCCCACATCGGGCTCCCTGCTCGGCAGGAAGTCTACTTCTCCCTCTGCCACTCCCCCTGCTTGTGTTCCTGCTCTCGCTATCTCTCTCTCTGTCAAATAAATAAATAAAATCTTTAAAAAAAAATTAAAAAAAAAATAGCTAACGTTCTAGTCATCGTGTAACATATTAAATCAGCCGCGAATATTTCAGCGATGGCTAACAGTTTGGTTAACAACTAACATCTTGGTTACGAGCAAATGACTTAATCATCACCGAAAGCTTTCCTTAATAACTAACATCTTAGTCTCCAGCCCAAGTGTTAGTTGTGAGAGAATTCGCACAGACTTAGCATCAGCAATCAGACTTAGCAGCCAAACTCCAAGTCTGTGCTTCTCAAACCTCCAGGTGCATTTGGATTATCCGGGGATACCGTTCAACCGTGGGTTCTGATTCTGTAGGTGCAGGGCAAGCCCATGGGTCTCCAAGTCTGTGGGGGGTGCTGATGCTGCCCGTCGGGGCACACTCTGCCAAGCAAGGGTCCGTGTTGTGGGTGGATCGCTGGTAATCAACAGTAAGTCACCAGGTCACCTTGCTACCTGCTAGCTTATCAACGCCAATGTTTGTTATCTGCTAACATCTGCACTACCACCACCAACATCTTGATATGGGAACCAGTGGTGTATGGGAGCTTGTGCAGGCTCCAGAGAGCCCAGCACCTGACTTTCAGGAATCTTGTTAGCTAGTTGTTAAACCATCGGTAACTTGAAATCAGACATGATGGGAATATTTACACCATGAAGTGGGCAAATGCAACAGAGCAGGCCTTATTTTCTCTCAGAGGACTGCTTTAGCAACCTATGCTGGCTCTTCGGTCTGGGCCGGTTTCAAGCAGGAGGGCCTGGGGGGATGGGGATAGAGTCTCTGCTGAGGGTAGACCCCCCTGAGGCAGGGGAGGGACAGACGCACAACTCACTTTCCCCGTGGACTTGACGCCCTTCCAGATGCAGAAGAAGCAGACCAGCCAGACAAGGAGAAGGCAGAGAGCAAGGTCCCACTTCAAGGAGCCAGGGTCGTCGATTCCTGAAGACAAGCTCAGCACGTTGCGCCTTCAAGCAAACAGAGCCACAAGTCAGTCGGGCCGGGCCCTGGGGCAGAGAGAGCTGAGGCCAGGGCTCCAACAGCCTGGGGTTGAAACCCTGGCTCAGGTGCCGTGTTTCCACAAGCCCCCTCACCTCTCCAAGCCCTGGAATCCCCATGGGTCTCTGAAGCAGTACCCACCCACATCACAGGGTTGTGGAGAAGTCAACAAGGGGATAGATTCGGACTCCTACCTCAGGTGAACCTGGGATCAACCCCGCCTGGCCTCAGGCAAGTTAAGTACATCTCCAAGCCTCAGTTTCCTCATCTGTAAAATGGGTACTAATCCCCATGTGATCGATTCTCAGTAGACCCTTCTTCAGTGCCCATTTGGGCCAAACAATGGGTTCAAACTAGGCTCTACCGTGTAAAATCAATGGCTTTGATTTACACTCTCTGTCCCAGTCCTCTTTTATGTTATTCACCCCTGTTTCTTATCTGGGTCTCCATGAAAATGTAAGCCTCAAGAGGGCAAAGTGTTTGTTCTATATGTGGCCACAGAGCACCTGCCCACCGCTTTACAGGGATCATTGTTAAGAGAAAACCCACACAAAGTACTAACGATAAGATCTGGGGTGAAGCTAGCACTGGGTAAACCTTATTGTTTCCGTCCTAGCCTTGAGACGCCCAGAGCAGCTCTCGGCACCTAAGCAGTGCTGGCCTCCTGCCCCCAACTCCCTGCAGGATTGTGAGGGTCTCAGGAGGAGGCAGGTAGACGGTCTGAAGGCTAATCGGCCCAGAGCAACCACCAGCCCTGCCCAGCATCACGCCGCAGACGCTGGGTCTTTGGAGTCCAAGAACCTCGCTGACCTGCAGAAGACGCCTATGGGCACCTGCTCGCAGACACATCCCTGAGGGGCCGAAGCCATCTGAAGTCGGGGTGGGGCAGCACAGGGTGCTGGCAGCCAGAAGCCACAAAACTCAATGCCAAGAAACTGTCCCCATGGTCCCAGAGCTCTGATACTGAGGCAGTGACCAAGGGCGGGCGCATCAAGCACAGGGACGTCAGCCCGGCCCCCCACTCCATCAGGGTCCCCCGTCCCCGGACTCCTAGGCTGCTGACCACGGGAGACAGGCAGTTTGTGCTCCTCTGGGAAAAGCGGGGATTCCTTCTGACCAAAGTTAGCTCCTGGTTTCAAGGCCACACTCCAGCCCAAGAGGCAGAGAGAGGGTGTGACTTCGTGCCCCAATATCCTCTTCTGTAAAACACAGATAACAGCTCCTGCCCCCAGGCTGCTGCCTGGGAATGCATTCCAGACCATTCCCTAGCTCCCAGCCAGTCAGTGGTCAGGGCTCTGGGTCTCGGAAACCCCGCTGGACCAGGACACTTCATTGCTTTTCCTTTTTTATTTTTTCCACAGAAGCTTCAACATGTGGACCTTGAATAAACCCAAGATCCCCATCTCAAGTGGCATCCAAGTGAGGCCTTTCTTTGGGCCGCCGCCGTGCTCCCAGCACCTAGAACGACACAGGGCACATAGTAGGGCCTCAGTAGATACCTGTTGAGTGAATGAACCAAGGACTCAACTGAGGTGACCGGCAAATTCACACGGCACTCGGAACCAAGTCATGAAATATTTCCATTCACCTTAAAAAGGGGCAGCATTCCTGTCCTTTTTTTTTTTTTTGGTGAGAACCCCGACATCAAGGGGCTCCCCTCGGGCACCTCTGACGATGTGTGCTCAGAACATCCACAAGGCCTTTCCAGTTTATCTCATCTGATCCAAGGACGAAAGGTCATTTGCCCCATTTTACAGGTGGGGAAAACCGAGGCCTGGAAGATTCAACCGCCCACAGACACACAGCCAGCGGTGGGCAGAACTAGCACCCTACACCCAAGCCTGCCAGACTCCCAAAGCCACTGCTCTGTGGACTCCCCCGCACTGCTCCTCTGATAAGCAGGGAGAATAGAGCCTAAACTTTGAAAAGAATCTGCCCCGTCCCCCTGCTATGGGCCAGGGTCCCCCTGAAGCCTCAAGCCAGGGGGCATGCCCATGGGGCAGGCCGTCCGCCAACCGCGCCCCGGCTGGGGCCCTGCCAAGCACGTGGGTCTGGCAGCGGTGGCTGCTTAGAACAAAAAGGCCTTCCCCGTGCAGCCTCCAGCGCCCGGCGCCTTCAATGAAGGCCCAGGGCATGCTGGGCAGCGGCCAAGGCTTCCTTGTGAATGGGCAGCGTCAGGGAGAGAGAGTGCTTCTCCACCTCCACACCTTGGCGCCTGCGGCAGCCACACACTCCTCGTGCTGCCACCTCGTGCTGCCAGGGAAGCCTTTCCTGCTGCTCGGCGGACACCTGACTGGAGTCCCCGGCCGTCTCCCCGGCCACCCGCTCCCGCCAAATGTCACCTTCGGGTGAAAAGGCTGTCTTGCCTACCAGCCTCCGGACGGCCCGAGGACAAGGATCTCCCAGGCGGGCATACAGCAGGTGCTCAGCTAATGCTGAGGAGGGGCCCCGCCTTTTCTTTTCTCTTCAGGCCAGGTCGGCTGAGAAGCTTGAATCCGCAGAGCTCAGACCACACCAAGCCCCTCGGTTCCCGGACACTCTTTCTGCCTTCTCCTACTCCTGCGCTCCGTAAACCAGCCGGGCCAGCCACAGATGGCAAGGCAGGCTGGCTCTGGGCAGCTGACCAGCTACGGAAGCCACAACGGGGAAACCGAGTCTCCACCGCTGGTGGCCATCTCCTTGGAGGAGCTCATGACACCTCCGGGTGACACTATTAGGCATGTTCTCTTTGACCCAGCAATATGCCATTCCCGAGCCTCTCTCCCATGATAACTCTTGCACGTGTGGCCAACGACGGGGTCCAGCCCGAGCTAGTCATCACAGCACTGTCTGTAGGAGCAAAAGACTGGAAACCACCCAAACGGCCATCAATAGGGGCTCAGCAGCACAGAGAAGACACACAGTGGAATGTCACTCGGCCCTCGAGGTGGTGGGAAAGCTCCCTGTGCGCAGATTAAGAAACGGTATCCCGGAGATAAAATAAGTGAACAAAGCAAGGTGAACCGTGCTTATGGCATGCTCCCTATTGTGTTAAAAAGGGAAGGGGGTGGATGTACATTTGTGCTTGAATGCGCACAGACTATTTTTGGCAGGACACACAAGACGCTGCTGGTTGCAGTCAGTCGCTGCCTGTGGGGAGGGGGGACCTGGTGGTGGGGATGCGGGGGAGGGGAGCGCACTTGGCCTTGGGTATCATTTTTTCTACTTGAATGTTTTTCTCTTTGAATGTTTGATGTTTTTAGACGAATGATTCAATGTTTTTAATAGCACCTTTATAAAAATTATTTAGAAGTCTTGAAAATGTTTGTAATGGGCCGTGCAGACGTTCTAGGAATGGAATGAATGTGTCTCATCAGTCAGGGGTTGTCAAAACAAGAGCCCAACGTGGGCTCAGGGCCAAAGTGACCGACACCCTTTCCAAAGATAGCCTTGGGTAGCCGTGGAGGCCGGAGAGCGTGTGCGGCCATCCGAATCCCTTTCTAAGGGAACCCCCGTGTGAAGGACCCTCCACAAGTCCCTCCAGCGTGGGACTCCCACAGCCTCAGCCCCAGAACAGCAGACATGGATCTGTTGGGCCTTCCCACGGTGGTGTGTGAGAGGGCTCAGTAAACTGTAGAGTGCTGTGCCCCAGAGGGACAGCCATGGTGCACTGCCCCTCAGCAGTCTCCTAACCACCCCAGGATACTGCATGGTACCCCAAATCCAGCCACATGTCCCCAGCACTGCCACCACTCCTGTCTGGACTCCCACTGCTTCCCAGAGCTTTTTCAGTGGCCTCCCCACTTGTCTTCCTGCCTCCACGGTCACCCTCCCCCCCAGGTCTGTTCTCATCGAGAGAGAATCTGTCCAGACCCAAGATGGGTCACACCACTCCTCTGTCCCACATCCTCCCATGGCTCCCACCTACCTGGCTAAAAGGCCCCCCTAACCTGCCCCATCCCTTTTGGCCTCCCCGAATAAGGTGACCAAATACTCTTATCATTCAGACCTATTAATAAGGACACTGGGACCACAGGTATATAAATGAGACATGTCCAGGACAAGTTTATGTATGCTTGTCCCATCTTGAACCTCATCCCCCATATGGCCCCTTCAGCCAGTGTCTTCTGGTATGATCTCTGAATAGATTGAGCACATTCCTGCCTCAGGACCTTTGAACAGGTTGTTTCGTCAGTCACTTGTTATAGGACATGCCAACTGCCTCCCTGTGTCATTTCAGGTCTCTGTTCAAATGCTACTTCACTGGGGCAGCCTCTCCTGGCCATCGTATAAAAAGTATCCCTGGTCACTCTCCTTCCCCTGCCCTGGCTTTATTTTTCATCATTTGTCATCGCTTTTATATTACAATTACATTTGTGCTATCCATTTAATGTCCGTCTGTCTTACTAGAATGCCATCTCCACGGAGGCAGGGCCTGTGTCTGATCCCTGCTGGATCCAGAACAGTGCCTGGCACAGAGTAGGTGTTCAATAGGCATTAACTGAGTAAAGTAACCGTACCCATTTGGTTGATGGGGAAACTGAGGCTCAGAGAGGTTCAGGAATTCGCCTGACATGACCCAGATAAAAATCAACCCCGGGCCTGGATCCCTTTTTCTGATGCTGCCCTGGGGACCAGCCACCCATATGCCTGGTCCTATTCTGCCCTTCATGAGGGCCCTCAGAATCCCAGGCTTCCCTGCATCGCTCATACAGAGGGAGGAGAACCAGAGGTGAGCTGCATTCTTGTCCAAGAATAGTAATGATTCATTCCAGGGTGGGATCCAAAAAAGAATCGCCTGGACGTCTGTTGTGAGTCGGCCGCCCCGCTGCCGTCCAGCCGGCACTCAGAGATGTAAATACGTCCTCCGAGTGGGCCAAATCGTTTCCTTTTGACTGCCGGCCAGCCATTTATTGGCCATGGCTCTTCCCTGGAGACTGGCGGAGGCAACAATTATAAAAGAGCCCGTCCGCCCTGAGCATGGGGCCACACAAGGCTTTCTCCACCGCCTCCTCCTTCCGACAGCTGCAGAGGAAGATTGGCTGAGCACGGCTTGTTTGCAAATATGACTCATTTCTTTGATTCTAATAAAGTCTAATGATACGTGCTGAGCTCCCAGGGGGCTCGGGAGGAACCAGGGAGGAAGGCATGGCTCCGGACAGATCTGGCCCCGCCTGTCTTCCAGGGCTGGGGTGAAGCAGGACCCTCGGGACAGAGCGAGGACCCCAGAGCAGGGACCAGCAGGATGAGGTTAACCGGGGGCAGAAGCTCTGTTTTCCGTCACAGAGCAACTCTGAGTCAAATCATAAAGCTAGCGTGAAATGACTGCCTCAGGGGTCCCGGTGGCTTATACGGGGCTCTGTAAGAGGACATCTCGCCGGCTCCTGCTGACAATGGTGCTTTAGCGTTGCAGATGAGGTGGGTCCACACCAAGAGAAGACCCCCGAGAGTGGGTCACACACACACGGCACAATGTTACCTGTGGCCGTGGACTTGTAGCTGGTGGGGACACAGATACCAGTGTCGGAGGTGAGGGCTGGGAGCTCTGTTCTAGCCAGCTGCTTGTGTAACCTTGGGCAAGTCACTTAACCTCTCTGGTCCTCAGTGTCATACCCAATGAGCCATGACTGGAGGCCCTGTCCTTAGCACATCACTTGTCCTAGCTCTTTAACTCGAGCCAGACTGTGAGGTGTTGGAACCATGCTATCCTCAAGGTTTAGAGAGGTGAGGTGACTGCCCTGAGGTCATGCAGCTGGGACGTGTGGGGGCCAGAGGCAGGCTCCCTGCTCTAAGGGACCGGAGCATCACCCATGCTCCCAACTCTCTCCTCTAGTAAAACAAGACAGGGGGAGGGTGGCTGGCAGGGATGATCAGCAAATTCCTTCCCTGTCCAGGGCCATAAGGAAGTCTCAGCTTTCATAGTGCCGTGTTATCTTGATTCCCAGGGAGCTCCCAGACACCCGTCGGGTATTGGTCCACCTCAAGGACCCACACGTCTGCTGCAGGTGAGAGAAGTGGAGATAAACATTGGCTGGGGCTGGGCTTTGGCTCCAGGGGCATGGAGACCAGCACTTTGAGAGTATCCTCACTGCTCTGCAGCCTAACCTGGTACCAGTCACTGACACCTCAGTAATGTCCCCGTGAGCCTCTCCTAATGGAAACCCCAGAACCAGTCACTGTAGGGCCAGTGGCTATTTTCGGGGGAAATCATAGAAACTGTTTCACCCCGGAACCCAGATCCACTGATGGCTGAACCCTCTGAGGCCCTGTATACAGTTGGTGCTTAATATATGTCCTAGTCTCTCTCCCACTAGTGTGTTCCTTGAGTAGATTCAATCATGTCACTCCCCTTCTCGTATACCTTCCATGGTTCCCCCTCCTAGAGAACAAAGCTCAAACTTACCAGGCTAACATTCGAGGCCTCAAACCTTCTCCTGGTCCCATGTGTCCTATGCTCTGGCCAAACTCATGACTTAACGGTTCCCAAACACTTGTGTGTGTTCAGAATGCCATGCCTCGGCATGGGCTGTTCCTTCTCCCCAGAATGTCTTTTTGCTCTCCCTTTCAGCCTAGTGAGCTCCTATTTGTGCCTCAGAGCCCAGCTCATATGGCCCTTTCATTTGCAGATGAGGAAACTAGGCCTGAGAGGGGTAGTTAACTTGCTGCTCCAGGCTACAAAGCCAAGTGGATGCAGACATGGAATTAGTAAGAAGAATCAGCATCCAGTGAGCACTCACTGTGTTCAAACACTCTCACTTAATCCTCTCTTGCTGAGCCAGATCATAGTATGGGAAAAGCCACGAGATGGTTCTGAGCTGAGAAATGCCATGTTTGGATTCACGCTTGTTGACTTCAGAGCTGCAAGGGTAAGGCAGGGAGAGGACAGTCCAGTGCTGGGGTCTGGGGGAGTGATGCTGGGGGTCTCATGGAGAGGCGGGGGACTGCAAGTGGGGAGAGTAGTCAGACTCTGGGTATACTTGAAAGGGAGAGCCCAGAGCATCTGGGAACTGGATGTGAGATTTGAGGCAGGCAGGAGTTTGGGAGGATTCCCATGTACTTCCCTACCTGAAGGGTCTCTGCAAAGATGAAATGCCAAAGAGAGGGACATGTCCCTGGCACAACGCTCATGGGAGCTAGTTATTCCACATTAGTTCTCTTTCCCTCTTTCATGTGCAGGAGAAGGGAAGGCTCTGGAAGGCCGGGGACTGGGCCCTTCTCACCTGTAGGGCCTGGCCCAGGGCTGCACTGCACTGAAGCCCCCAGCCCTACTCACTGGCCTCAGCCTCTGCTCATGCGTGGCGGCGGACCTGGTCTCCTCAACTAAGCCTGCATTCCAGGCTCTTGCTCTGTGGACCCCAGTCCTCCCCAGGGTTCCAGAAAGAGGGCAAGTTCTTTGTGGATGTTCAGGTGGGCTCACAAAGTTCAGCTAGGACCCGAAGGCTGGAGTGGGAGGTGAGCACCAGGCAGGTGGCCAGTGCTCTGTGGGCTGAGAAAGTCCATCCGGATCCTGTGGGCCCTGGGAAGCTGACTGCAGGCCCAGGACATTTCCAAAGATAAATCCTGTCTTCACGGCTTCCAGGCCAGAAAGGGCAGCTTGGGTGCTCAGAATGGGGATTCTGGAAGGCAGGAGCCCGAGAACTCCCAGGAGGGCTGAGTGTAGGGGACAGGTGGGTGAGAAGGCATGGGGAACAACTGGACCCCCTGAGGACCTCATGGTTCACGGGAGCCCCTTCCCGAGAGCCCTCAGGCCTATGACAGCAGAGATGAGCCAGAAGGACAGCCCCATTTGCAATGGCAGGGGCGGAGGAGGAGGGTATGGGCATTTGAGAAGGGGCCACTCTTTGTCCCTCTGAAGGTCAGGTCACTTGAGTTCCAAACGCCCCTGGAGGGCAGTTTGATCCACTACGAGGGCACTAAATAGATAATAATGGCCTGCATTTCTCAAGCAGCTTCTCAGGACCGGCCATGCACAGTCTCATTCAGTTAGGGCAACCCCACAACGCTGGGAGGGCAATGCTAGGATCTCCCCAAGCACAGGTGAGGCCATCGGGGCCCAGAGGGGCAACAGCACCTGCCCAAGCTAGAGGTGACAGACCGAGGGTTCATGAAAGCCCGGACAACCAACCCAGGCCCGAGGCAGTAAGGCTCCAGCAGGCACCCAAGTGGCTGGTTGAGTGCCAGTGTCCTGGGCGGGGTGGGCTGTGGGTGGTCAGGCTGTGCCAGGAACAGCCTAGGACAGACAGGGCTGTGGTTTCGGGCCCCATTCAAGTGAGAAGAATGAAGTGCCCGCATTTCTTTGTCTGTAAACTCAGCTCTCCAGAGGGTGTGGCATGGAGGGGCTGATGAGTGTGCTTGTAATGTGCTCTTTGTCTGCAAGTGGAAAATATGTACACACAAAGAAAGAGACCCTGTCCAAGTAGGCCTAGGGACTTGTGAGCATCGACCGCAGGCTTGCATGTCATGACAAGGACAGGGACCCCCTGACCGAGGGCCACCTGACCCTTGCTTGCCCACGATTTCCTGGCCCTGGCCCTCAAGCATGGCTGGGACCGGCCAGCAGGCCACCCCCTCTCTTGTGGGTCCGTTGCTGGGCTGGGTTCTCAGAGGTGGGAAGACCCTTGGAAGCTGCAAAGCTGACCCAAAAAGGAGTATCATCTCATGATGATGAGGGACCACCCCCATCCTTAATACTGTCTCCTGCCCCCCGCTATCAACTTCATCTCCAGGATCACTGGGGCTGTACGCAGGTGCTGAACCCCAAGTTTCATAGATCATGAAGAGCAGGGAAAGTGACCCATGAGTGCTTTTGCGATTGGCCTCCAAGCACTGTGTTCAAAGGACTCCCCTGTACGTCAGCTAAGAGTCTCCACATTCCGCCTTTCTGATGTCTGTCCTGCGTCTATACTCCCGTAGCTGCTGACGACATGGTGGTTCTCCCCTCCTCTCCTAAAAAGACAGAGCCTCTCTCCCCACCTCCTGGATTGGGTTAGTCTATGGCTTTCTTTGGCCGATGGGACATGAGTGAAAATGATGCCGACAGAGTTTTGAAAAGAACTCCTGCACAGGGGCTCCCCCATTCGTGGTCACGTGCTGAGCCGCCCGTGAACAAGCCCAGGCTGGCCCACTGGGTGATGGGCCCATATGGACCGGTTGTCCCTGGCACCCCAGCCAATAGCCAGCTAATCCCCAGAAGAGCTATCCTGATGTCCTACAGCTGACCTACCCACGGGGGAGCCCCACAAAGACTGGCAGAACTGCTCAGCCAAGCTCAGTCCAAAATGCCAATCAGCAGAACCATGAGCCAAATAAACGGTCGTTGCTGAAAGCCACCAAATTTGGGGGTGACTGTTACACAGCAAAAGCTAACTGATAGATATTTTTTACTCTATCGACTCACCTTTTCGCTTGAGTAACTATATCAGCTTCGTATGTGCATTTTTCTCTGTGCAGTAACAGGTTTGATGTGCTAACTATATTTTTTTCTAAAATACATTAAGAAAACTATATCATTTTCAGACAACAGAAGTACATATACCTGCATACGGGTGTAGGAACGATTCATTCCCCTCATTTGACAGTTAAAGAAACTGAGGCTCAGAAAGGGGCAGTGACTTGCCGAAGTTCAAACAGCCAGTAAAATGGCAGAACTGGGATTCGGTTCCAGGCCTGTCTGAGACCAAAGGCATGGATTTATCTCCAAATCCGCACCCTCCTCCCCGCCCCCCACCCCGAGATAGTGACAACCACATCCCTGGGGAGAAGATGAGGGAGTGGGCTGTCCTCTCTGCCCCCACCCACGTCCTCCCTCCTTCCTTCAGCGAGGCTGGCCTTACTCCCAGAACTCGGTGACAGGCGAGGTGAAGTTGTTGGCGCTGAGGGTGACCCACAGGCTCTTATTCCTGCGCATAGTGTCTTCCATGCACTGGGGTGTGTTCCAGCTGTGGTTGCAGTGTGCCCAGGGCAGCTCCGACTGGAAGGACTGGAACAGGTAGTATGTGGCCCAGGCCAGGATGATGACGTAGTATATGTTCAGGAGGGACACGATCACGATGGAGGCGTAGCCGATGCCTGTGGGTGTGGGCAAGAAAGAGGAGCATCAGGAGGGAGGCCAGACCTACCACGGCCACATAGTCAACCCTGGTATCTCTAGGCCTGGGGCCAGAAGGGGCTCTTCAACAAGGACCAGCAAATATTTGTAGGATGAATGGATGACTGGACAGATGATGAAAGAATGGATGGTCCGATAAGGTGGATGAATGGAAGGATGTATAGAGGAGGGATAGCTCAATGAATGGATGGCTAGGCACATAGATGGGTAGATGGATGGATGGTTGGTTGGTTGGTTGGAAAGACAGCTGAATGGATGGATGTTGGATTGATGGATGGATATCCAATTTGTTGATGGATGTATGGATGGTGGTTGGTTGGAAGGTTAGGTGGATGAATGGATGGATGAATGAGTGGATAGCTAGCCAGAAAGATGGATGGCTGGTCTAACCATTGACTAATGGAAGAAAGTTTACTGGATGGATGGATGGATTTATATAGATGAATGAATGGACAGATCCACACATCCTCCCAACCATGCCAATTATAACCATAACAGTGATTATTTTATGGGTGCATACTAGGTGTGAGGCACAGGACTAAATGTTGTAATGATAATAAAGCTACCCTTAATTTGGAGCTTACTACGTATACAAAGCACTTTTACATAGCTATGTCATTCTGTCTTCATAGCGACCCTATGAAGTAAGCACATGATTTCCATTTTATAGATAAAGAAACTGAGGCCCAAAGAGATTGACTATTCCAAAGTAACAAGAGTTTGAGCAAGAGGTGGAAGTGGGACTTGAAGCCATACAGACTCCTGATCTGAGCGCCTCTCTTCTGCACTACATTGCTAAGCAGCTGCAATCCTTCAACGACCCAGAGGTGGGAACAGCCCGGACGTGCTGAGCAGCTATGATGGGCAGCAGCATCATGGGAATAATGTGCCACCTGCTACCCTGGGTCAGGCACAGGCACAAGTGGACTTGCATGAGGCTCCAGTGTACCTGGCAAATAGCAGGTGCTCAATAAAAATGTGCTGAACCGATGAACACCAGGCCCCGGGTGACCTTTGTCCCATACTCACCGGAGAACAAGGGGCAGATCTTTTCCCAGCAGGTGATGCCCCCTTCAGAGGTGTACTGGCCTATGATTACCTCTAGGAAAAACACAGGCAGGCCGCCGCCAAACAGGAAAATAAAATACGGTATGAGAAATGCACCTGCAGAGAGAGCAGAGTTGGTGAGGGTCAGGCTGTGGCTGTCACGGGGGCCGCTCCCAAGCCCTCCCAGCCAATGAGATCCAAGAGAATGAGTGAGGGACATTGGGACATTGGGATAGAGGCCAAACTCTTGGACCTGGTTGAAAAGTCTCCAGGCCTTGCCCCTCTGTCCAGCTGACATCACTTTTCCAGTGGGCCTTCTCACCTCCTCCAGATGCACCAGGTGCTTTTTTAAGCCTCTGAGCCTTTGCTTACGCTGTGCCAACTACCTGCCTGCCTTCCCCACATCCGTCCATCTCAAACACGGCCTCCTCATGAAGCCTTCACCCGTCCTTCCCCAGGCCCGCCCAGGGCAGGCAGCTAAGAAGAACTAGCGAGGAAGGGTGCAGTGATGAGAAGCAAGAGGTGGGCATCTCCAGCTCGGGGTGGGAGCCAGGGGAGGAGTGAGGGCAAAGAGCCAGGGCGAGGGTTCCTACCTGGTGTCCACTAATGGCTTCAGCGGGTCCATAAACCCTTTGAAACTGTGGGCAACTTGGGTCTATGGCTATGTGCTTTGTTCTGGGGAGCGTCTAGGGCACTCATCAGAGTCCCAAAGGCGCCTGAGACCTACAAAAGGTTAAGAAACCAGGCTCTAAGGCAGAATTTCCCAAAAGGTGGTTCTTTTAACTTGGGCGGCCGCGGCATGCCATCTGCTGCCATACGAGCCTCCGATTGAGGCCGTCACGAGGGCCGAGCCGTTCCTCCCTGCCCAGGGCTCTTTGAGCTCTCTCCTGCACCAGGGAGAAGGTCTCTGTCACATGCTGCCGGACTTTGACACCTCCAACAGAAGAGGATTCTAGCTCAGAGCCTTCAGCAGGTGTAAAAAACAAAAAACAAAAAACCCACAAAAACCCAAACCAACCAACTAACCAAACACCCGGACAGAGGCCTTATATTTTAAAAATGATCTTCAAAGGTGGTCAAAAAGAGACAACTTCAAGGTTTAAGTTCTGGGGACGTGACCTACCACATGGTGACTATAGTTAATAGCGCTGTACTACACATTTGAAAACTGCTATGAGAGTAAATCTCAAGTTCTCATCACAAGAAAAAACGTTATAGCTATGTGAGGTGATGGATGGTAACTGAACTAATTGTGGTGATCATTTAGCAATACACACATGTATCAACTCATTACGTTGTACACCTTAAACTAATACATGTTATAAGTCAATTATATCTCAATACAAGGGGAGAAAAATTTTAAATGAAAAAGTACTAGAAATACCTTCACTGTATTTTTTTTTTCCTGGATACCTTTCTATCACAGCAAATGATACTGGTTTTCCATTTATCGGGGGGAAACAAAGCTTGCTTTTGAAGTGCCTTTGGGTTAAGTTAGAAAAAGCCAAAGCAAAAGCATATGGATCTGGGCGAATCTGTGGGACACATGGGCCTGGCCTCACTGCCTCTCTTCTGAGGGGATCAACTGGAGGGTCAGAGAGAGTCTGGGACCTGCCCGAGTTTGCAGAGTTAAGACACCGAGAGAACGTCACCTGACTCTCAGGAATGCTCATGTATTGCCTCTGAAGTGGGGTGGGATGGGGTGGGCACGCAGGTGTTCCAGGTGGGGGCCTGGGAAAGCGGGGCACAGAGAGGCCCCCACGGTCTGGCCCCTCCCTCTCCTCGCTGGCCACTCGCTGCCCAGCCCAGCCCAGGCTTACCTCCACCATTTTTGTAGCAGAGGTACGGGAAACGCCAGACGTTGCCCAAGCCGACAAAGCCGCCAGCCACGGAGAGCACAAAGTCGATCTTGCTGGACCACTTCTCCCTCTGAGGCGGCTTCCCCTCGGCCTCATCTTCGGGCCGCGTGCCTGGGCTCTTCCCTGGGGATGGCTTCAGGATGTCTTTGTGAAAGTCTTTCAGACACTGCAGCTTCTCCTTGGTGGCCATGTCCTCCTCGCTTTCTGTGGGGGACAAAACAGAAGCCAGCGTGCGCTCAGTAAGGGATGGCCTGTTCGTCTTCGGCACATCTCTTTTCTCACCCATGGGCTGGTGGGCTCTGACCAGCCCAGGCCTGTGGCGAGGGGCCTGCCATCCCGTCTGTCCACGGCTCTGACAACAACCCGAGTGATTCGGACCCCTTAGGTGATCAGGGTCCTCGAGATTCAGGAACTGACCGGTTCCGCTCCCCAGGCACCTCCTCAACAGAAGCGCAGGGACCCCATGCCCGTCATCCCCACACGTCACATCGCATTCTATACCCGCAGGCAGAGAAGCATGAAGCCAACCCTCCCCCCCCCAACCCTGGCATCATCTCTACAAAATATGACACACTCTGGGCAACTCTAAGGTAACTTCCCAATAACAGACTGTCTGCATTTTCTAGCAACGAGCAGATACCATCTCTGCATCTCACATTTGCCTAGAAAATGATGGCTCCTGTTTCATTCAAGACTCAGCACAGTGCCTGGCCACAGGAGGTGTTCGTTCCGAGCTTTTAAAGAATGGATAAACATAAGTGAATAAGGAATGGGGTTTCAGGCTGAGGTAGGAACAGTATTTGAAAAGGAGGTTTCCACCAAAGTATGAAAAATGAGTATTTATGAAACATATTTGCAATTCATTAACCAGTCACATCTCTGCACTGTGAGGATTATGGAAGAATGCAGGTGAATCTTCCTTTGTCCATCCCTCTCTATCCACTCTCTGGCTTGCTCTAACCCGTATACCATCCAGGCTCCTTTGCCCTCTGACTCCCTGTTGGGTTCAGCAATGCAAGGGCCCAGAGGAGGTCAAGTCTCCAAGCCTCCAGGAGCTGTTCAGGATCACCCTTAGCCCACCCCTGCTTAGGAAGGCTGCCACCAGCCAGGGCAGAACATCTCCTTTCTCTACTTCTCAGGTCCCCGAGTCCTAACCGCACCCCCCCCCCGCCCGCCCACACACACACCTCGGTCTTGAGGGCAAAAGCACATGAGTCCCAGCCCAGGGGGAGAGGGTGCCTTTGAGGCTTTACCCCTACATGGCAGAGGCCACGGGAGACAGCTGAGCTGGGGGAGCCAGAGTTAGTGGGCCTACCCACCCCTCCCTGAGCCTCACTTTCTTCATCTGCAGAATAAACAGCTTGAAGGCAAAGGCGACCAACTCATAGTCAAACAGCCTGGGGTACTACTTGTCTTCATGATCCAAACCGTTGGCCGACACTGAAATAACAGAGGAAAGTGGAGATTTCTAGGTTTTTTCAAAACATGTGAAGGGCGTCGGGCCACACTGGGTTCACACTCCTTATGGGATCCATCAGCTGGACCAGATGCAGCCCCGTCACCCGGGCACACCCGCGCCAGCTTGCCACCCGGCTCGCGGGACGTCTCCAGTGGGGATCTGAGTCTACCTTGTCAAAGTGCTTAGCACCACCCGATCATGTCTTGCTCGAGTCCTTCCTTCCTTGTTAACAGTGTCCCCCTCGACTGACAAGAACAGAGGCTCCGTGGGGCAAGGACCTGTCTTATCTACTGCTGTGCCCAGAACCTGGAGCGCAGGAGGAGAACTGATGCGTAATGGTGCTCAGGGTGGGGTCTGCAAGCAGCTGCTGCTAAGTACAAACCCCAGGCCTGCCACTTCCCAGCTCTCTGACGCCAGCCATGTCGCAGCCTCCGCGCCTTGCCTGGCGTAGGTGGCGGTCGGGGCAGGGCAAGGCGGGGGCCGCCTGCGGACCTGGGGTGTGCAGAGAGAAGGTGCACTGGCCTGGCCCCAGCAGCCGGGCCCGCAGGGGCCTTGCTTGGAGGAGCACAGGCACAAAAGCACAACAGAATCCCCATTTCCCCCACGCCTCCTTCCTCTCCCTGGCTCGGGGTGGGGGACCCTGATTGTTTCGCTATCTGGCCATGAGCAGACCAAGAAAAGGCTTCCTGGAGCCGCCGGGCGCTCGCTGAGCCCTTCCTCTGTCTCCTGGAGCCCAGACTGGCGGCGGCATCCGCACAGCCTTTCTTTGCCCTGCTCCCTCGAGGCGACGTGGGGGTCCGGCCGGGCGTATGGCTACTGTAAAAATAGCCCCAGCGGCCAGCATTGTTCCAGCATTAATATGTGCAGCCCCCGATGGTTATCTGGGCGGCCCATTGTGGGCCGGCTGGATGGGAGCATAATTGGAGGATGTGGGACTCAAGTCCCTCCTAGTGAAGATGTTTTTCAGGGAATGACCCCTGAACCTCCTCACCAAGAGGGTCGGTTCCGCCCTTTCAGGCTCTCCTTGGATCTCGGGGCTGCAAGGCACTTCACAAGGTCAGACAGGAGGAGGGGGGAGGTGGCCGGCTTCTGCCCACATAGGCAGCTGGGAGTGGCGAAGGTTCTTCCCCACTAGGACACCAGGAGCCGGGGTCTGCTTCCCTGTGGCTACGCTGAGAGTCCTGGCTCTGCCCTCTGGGCCCCGAAACCAACCGGCCAGGCTGGCACTCAGAGAACCCTGCGGAAACGCGGGGATGGGGTAGCAAGTTCCATGAGACCCTCTGCTCTGGCCTCTGGTTTCCCACGAGGGGAGACCTCCAGCCCCCTCTCCACTCAGGACCCCATCTTCCCAACGCCCGTGGCTGAGCCGGGATGTGGGGTGGGACTTGAATGGGGCAGAACTGGGGCTTGTCACGCATCTGGCATTATGGGGGTGTCCCCGCTCCTCATCCCAAGTGCATCGAGGGATGGGTTCTTCTGTTACGTCACCTGTCTCATCCACGGCTGCCACGAAACAAGCCCACGCGCCCTTCGAGAACACACAGCCAGCAGCCCTACCTCTGGCTCCCTCCCCGCCAGGTCATGGGCCATGGCCTCACCCAAGACTCACTCACTCATGCCTCTCAATGAGGCCAGATCCAGAGGCAGGCATCCCACCTCCCTCTCAAGGGACTTCTTCCAAGCCCCTCGGGGGTGTCTGACCAGCCCCATGCCTGCATAAGCCCACTGCAGAAAGCCCCTTGGCTTCTGCCTTCTGTACATTCCTGGCATCCACCCACATCTCTCCGTCGCCATGGCAACCACCACCGTCGGGGCCCTGACAGCTCTTGCCCGGGCATCCACGGCAGCCTCCTCCCAGGTCTCCCTGCTGCTACACTGTACCAACCCCCCACAAACTGTTCTCAGCACAGCAGCTGGGGGCAACGTCTAGAGCATAATCAGTCCAGAATGCACCCCCCACCCCCAACCTTCCATCACTCCTGGAAGAAAACACAAACTCCTCACTGCAGCCTCGCCCCCATCTCCCCATTCTCCCCTCTCCTTGGGACACTGGCTCCACAGAACTGCTTTCGTCCATCCCACGCCTCAGGCTCAGGCTCCCTAACACAGCTGCTCCGAGCCCTCCGGTGGCAGCCTGACCCCTGCAGGAACTAGAGTGTGAGCCCTCGCCGAGAAGCTGACAGCCACTTCCCGGCTCCGTGTCTTCAGGCAAGTCACTCAACCTCTCTGATCCTTAGTGTCCTCATTTGTAAAACGGGGCTAATCATGCCCACCTCATGGGGATGATGTAAGGACTGAATGGTGGGGGGCGGGTGTGTGTAGAATGCATGGAAAGTACTTAGAACAGCATTTGGCAAGTAGCAAGTACTCCTTAAATAGTAGCGCTGTATTACTGTTGTTACTGCCATAATTATCGGGGCCCACCTTGACCTTGGGGTATATAAGGCCTTAGTTCTACTCAGGGTGAGATCAGCAAGGCCCAGGGAGGCCAAATGACACTCCTGAGGTCATACAGCTGATAGTAACAGTGACCGAAACGTGCCTGAACCTTCAGCTCTGACCTACCCCTCTGTCAGCCCGGCCCCACCTCAGACACCACCTTCCCTGGAGTACTACCATTCATCTCCACGGACTCATGATGAGGCCCACCGATTCCCACCTGTCACCCCGCAGCGGCCCGCCCCCCCCGCAACCCGGTGCAGTAAGCACTTAGGAAGAAGCCCCCCCAGGCGCTCCAGCAGCCCGCTGTCTTGCCGGCCGCCGCCGCCAAGAACTGTTTTCCTTGGCGCCAGGCCCAGGGCTATTTTGTAGCGACCGTGATACATAATTCCCCATTTTAAGAGCTTCCTCTTTGGTTATTACAGCGAGAAGCGATTAGAATAGGCATCAGAATCAGCCCTGATACAGAGGCTCCAGGATGAAGCCTCCCCCCTTGGCCAGCTGAAGTTCTCCTTGTCTCTCTGCTCCAGGGGTCACGGCCAGAACTGGCTGTGCCTGAAGACCGACCTGCAGATCACCTGGTCAGCTTTGGCACGTCCGTGGACAGATCCAACCTGGTGCCGGCAACACGTGCCAACAATGCCAAGGATTGGTTTCTCCCCGATTTACAACTACCAGATTTTTTGGTATTTACTTTGTGCTTAGCTGTCAATAAATAGTGTTCTTTTTACTCCTCAAAGAGCCTTATTGTGGAAGGGATTTTTAGTACTGTTTTACTGATGAAGGAAGTTGAAGCTCAAGCAGGGAAGTGAGCGGCCTGCCTGATGCTAAGCACCCAGGAAGACTGAAGTCAGAACTCCCATCTTGATCTGCCCAATGCCTAGGGCACCAGAGCAAACTTTAGAAAGGAGGAGGCCTCTGTGCTGTTTGCAGATGGGGATGCTAAGGCCAGAGGGAAAAGGAATGCAGAGGTAGAGCAGGGTAGGGCTAGGGACTGGGTATACTGCCCACATTCCACGCCCTCCCAACCCCCCTGGCCCCAGGTGCCCACACACCAGCCAGCTGGATCTTGAATCGAGTTACAGACCCTGCTGTGGCTGCCTCCCCCAGCATCTGCCACCTCAGTCCAAGGCTGTGGGGAAACCAAGCCCTTGCCTCTTTTTCCTGGATGAGCTGCCGGGAAGCTGGGAAATTTTCACCCTCCCCTGCAGAACTTGAACCTTCTCAAGTAAAAACAATCAGCTTCCCACAAGAATCTCTCTGGAAAAGAATGATTTAAATCTCTCGTTGTCACTGACTTATCCAC